TTCTTAGCATCTTTTAAAGAATCAATTATCACATGTAATATCTTGAGCAATAAATTTCTCTAATAAATTTCTTTTTAATATTGTCAATAAAAAATCTTTGACATTAACTTTGAAATTATATCAAAATTAATTGATAAGGATTTTACAATTCCAAGTTACATTGTAAGTAAGATTTTAGATTTCAATAATATATATAGTGGCTAAATGTGATTCTTATTGTAGAGATACAAGCTTAGTATCTACTATCTTTTTTCAATAATTTTTTCTAAATATAGCTGTAAATACTTCCAAAAATAAATAAAAATTAAAAATAATTGTCAATCTTTTTCCATCAACAGTGCAAACCAAGAAATGCACTTCTAAAGAAAAATGCTCTTATGAATCCAACTTAAGTAAATCTATTAAGATATTGAAAAAGTTACAACTTTAGATACATCTTTATTTATTACAAAAATCTTTAAAACTTTGACTTTATTCCATCAAACTTTTCCAACATGCTCATCTTGCCTCTCTTATATTTATAGTGATATGACTCTTTTTATTCAATTGTAGATTTAATCTACTTGCTTCTCTCAATTGTACAAGTTTTTGACACAAACTTTAAATTTTATTATTAATTTCTTCCATAGATATAAGAATAGTAATTATATGATTTTTATTAAAAATATGTAACATTTCTATTCTAAAAATATTGATAAGTTCATGAAGATTTATAATAGTTATAAATAAAAGTAATTTTTTTTAATAATTTTATATTGAAGCCTTCTAAAACTATGTTAAATTTTGATTTTCATCCAATAAGTAGATCTTCGGGTATCATAGAAATCCTATCCAACCTAAAACTGTCAACTTCTAATATCTTCTTATACCAAAACTCAAATATCTCTCAAACAAGTTGTTAAATTAATACAAAAGTTTACTAACAATTAGTACACCTAATTAGCCAAGCACTCTTAAATTTTGAACTACTGATGTGATATCAATTGCACGAACTTGCTAGAAGTGTTAGTCCTAATTATATTGCATAAATCTCAAGTCATCAATATAAACCCTGACTTTGAGCAATAATTTTTGAGTCATTCCAAATCCTACTAAAGCAAGACTTATATATTTATAATAAACTTAAAGCTAACTTACAAATCCAAATTACCTAACTTCAAATGCGTCCCTACTTTGCCCTAAGCGATTGTTTCAGTGGCTAGAGGTCTGATTTCAACCCTATTCCACAAATGGTCGATCCTTGGATATCAATCTAATATATCTTAGGAATTTTTTAGGTCAATTTTATCTTCAACTTAATCTTAATATCAATCATGCTAATTGTTTATTTCTTTTAACTTGGTTTCATCAATTTATGGCCTTTCTAAGGCAATAAAAGAGTTTTTACAGCCTAGAAGGTAAAATTATTAACCAACCTTTAATCTACTAGCTATTAAGACAAGAAAATAAACTAAGAGGCTTTTATAAAAGCCATATTTAAATATCTTGAATTATTATTGAACCAATATGATTAGATATTAATTAAAAATTTATTTTTGATTATATTTTTATTATATACTTGTATTACAACATGACAACATGTTTGTAGTTGATAGGTAGGTTAGAACTTAGTGAACAAGTTGCACATGTGTCTTACATATTTATGACTTATAATATAAATTGGATATGTAGCAGACATAGAAGAAATTTGCCTTGCAAGTTAGACATGTATTAGAAGTATTACAGAGTGTTGTTATATAGTTCTTAATTAGATAGTATATATTGAGGCAAGAGTGAAGTCTTTTTCATTCTTGTTAATGCCTTTCTTATTCTCAATATAGTTTTAAGAATCTCTAGTTTTCTTATCTATGGCAGTTATCATTTTAGTTTAATAGTATACTATCTTTAAGTGATTATTTACTCTTTTCTAGTAGCATAAGAACATATTGATCCTTTGATTATTTGTGATTCATGTCATTGATAATCTACTTGCTACTACAACCTAAGGCTTAAATAAGGTGGGTCAAAGATAATTCAAGCTTGTTCATTTGAATAAACTAGAGGTAAAATAAATATACAAGTTGGCAATAATTAAATAAAAATAGTTTGATTTACTTTCAATGCTTATTTTAGCATGTTATTTACCTATATAAGGTATAAAAATCTATAATTATAATGTCATTTTTTTCTCTTTAGAAAAAAAAATGTCACCAAATATAAAGATGATTGGTGAAGTGGACAAGAAATGGTGGTACTATAGGCTCCAAGCAATTAGATCCACATCAATATATTATATGATGTAGCATTATTGTGAAATTTGCCTTAAAGAGTTCACATTACAAGGTAGAAAAGGCCTTCTTAAAGATCATAATTAAATGAGAATTGCTTAAAATTACAATCAACAATACAAATTGATTATAAATTTAGAACTTGTATATATATATTTATATATATATATGTATATATATATATATATATATATATATATATGAAGTCATGTATAATTATGGAATTTGAAAAATAAATTTATACTATAAATTTCTAATATTTTTAAATTACATAAAATTTCTAGCAATATACACATTCATATATATATATATATATATATATATATATATGTAATTTTTTTGATTTTTTAATATATTTTAAATTATTTATTATTAAATTATATTAAAAAAATTATTTAATATAATATAAAATTAAATTTTTATATTTTTTTAATTTTTATTTTATAAAAATCTAATATACATATTTTAATTCTTCTTCTAAAATATTTTTTAAGACTCTTTAAAAAGCTTTGGAGATTTTTTATTAAAAACATACTTTTGATAAATATTTTGATAATTCTAAAATATTAAATTTATTTATTACTTTTTTATTTATTTTAATATTTTCTATAATACATATCTATATATATATATATATATATATATATAATTTTTCTATAATACATATCTATATATATATATATATATATATATAATTTTTCTATAATACATATATATATAATTTTTTTTTTATTTCTTATTATTTTTATTTATTCTTATACAAGCTAATTTTCAAAACTTTATGGCTTAATAATTATTTAATGTACATTTCAAAGATATAACGCTATTCTACTATCAATTGGTACTTCTATATATACGTATAATTCAAACAAGAATCATGTTTTCAAAATTCAATATGCATTATATATGTACATTATTTAATGACTATGCATTCTAAATATTCAATTGCATGACTGTTTACTTCTGTCATTTGTAGACATGTTTCTAAAAATATTTTCTTACTCGCACAAAACTGCAAATTCCACTGTCGATACAGCAATTTGTTTTAGCTTTAATCTTTGATTCCAGAAAAACGACAGCATTAGTATCCAGAACCTTGCCAACAACATCAAACATGTTATTGTATGTGGTGATTGTTGTGAAGCTTTACGAGAATGATCGAGTCGCTTGCTCTTGGGTTAGCGTCGGATGCAGTCACGCTGAGCTGGCTGTATTTTTTCCAATTTGTTCACTTTGTTTCTCCACGCTTCAAGCTTAATCTCTTCTGCATACCAGTTTTCGTAGGCAACTTCAAACCATGTCAGTCCTTGAGACCAAGAGTTCATGGCACAAGATCCCGGCGGTAGTCGCACTTAAGATCGTGTACAGAACCTGAAAGCAATGGCAGTGAGCTTGAAAATGGCATGGAGGATCTGCGTTCGAGCATTGGAAGCTCTATGTTTATGTCGGAGCAGAAGACCTTCAAGGAAGCCTTGGGCGTGTCATCAGGTCGCTCCGGGAGCTTCTCTTGTAGGTCTCACATCATAGAGATTTTTACTCTTTGTTTCTGTTCTTGTCTTTGAGTTGAGCGACTGTTGTCGAATCTGCCTGAACTTTTACACTACCTCGAGTGGCAGCGTCTGTGTTCTTTGTGGCGCCGAAGTTCAATGTGTTTTGAAAGATCGTAATTCAGCTGTGAGGATTCAAGGATTTGAGTTTCCTTGAATGATCCGCTGTAGTGGCTATCTCTCTCGCCGATCCTTCGATCTGTTAATGTGCAATTTCCACTTGCAGTTTGTTACAGCTCTGTAATTGTGTTCCGTTAAGACACTTCCGGAGCAGTGGATGCTTGGTTGCTGCATGTGTTTGGAAGAAGCAGCTAAAGGCTCATGCTCAGCCAGTGCTTATCGAGGCCCTGAAACAGTGTACTAGTATGCTAATATTACTATTGTTTATAAGAAATTACACTTGCTTAAATCGGAATTGGAATTGGAAGCATTAATATACTCAAATTACGTCATTTACTTTTTAAATTTAATTGAGACCATTTTCGTCATTGATTGCTGATTTCAAGGACATTTACCGATGAAGTCATTTCTCTTAACCTCGGAGTCTGAATGAGAGTCATCCTCACAAGCTCTGCAACCAGATATCGAGCAATGTGCTGGATGTTTGCTTGGAACAGAGCACAGAGAGCAAGGACGCTTTGTGAAACCAACATGGTGATGGTGTCGGAGAGACTATGAACCTGATCAGCTTGAGTCTTGACAAACAAACGGCCCAGGATGATATACATCAACCATGACTTGAAACGCAGTTGCAACAAGAAGTTCCAGAAAACGGCAGCTCACGGACATTTTGGTTGCAGTGAGGCTGATATTACCTGGGAATTTGACAAACATCGAAGATTGGACCAGGAAGAACCAAAGCAGCTCCAGGTATCCGATCTACAATAGCTGATGCTTGTGAATAACTTGTATTGCACAAATGGTGCTACTAATTCAGAGCGTGTCGACCAAGACGACGTTTCCTGGGAGTTCTGGTTAATTCCTCACTGTTCTATGTAACATAATCTTTTTAATTTAGTAACTTTGAATGCTGTGTTTAAAACAAAAGATTCACAATGGTTTTTAAACAAAGAATCTCAAAATTCTCATCATTACTTTAGCCCAGAGTTACAAATTTTCACGTGATTCGCATGGAATTGACGCCACACAAGAATGAAACATGTAAACCTCAACCTAAGATCGCCAATCAGAACGCTGACAGCTCGTCTTTACTTTCCTCCTTGTCAGTATGTTCCTCGACCTGCTCCGGCGCTTCAGCCTCACCTTCATTCTTCGGCTCAACGTACTCGGGAAGATCAGCCTCGAAGGGGATTGCGGCATTCTTCTTCAGGAACTTGCCTAATCTAGATGCCGTCCTGTATGCTCCTGCCCATATTGGTACCTCCGTCTTCTTTCCCGCGGGGAAGAAAAAAACAATTGGGTAGTCCGTCATGGGGACCCGACCGTGCTCATTTTTAATGCTGTCCATCTTGGCGATCACGATCGACTTCACATCCTTCAACAGCTCTGCTAATTTGTTATACTCGGGTTCCAAACTCTCGGAATAGGGATCATAGACGTGGAGAAGAACATCCTTGGACTCGTCCAGAACAATGTTGTCGAACGATTTGCCGACAACCACCTTCACAGGTTCGTCGTTCTTCTCAGGAATGTCCTCAGACTTGAAGTATGGGTCAAGTTTGTTCTCCAAAAGCTTCCCTGCGAACTCCTTGACCGACGCAAGACTGAAATCTCCATCGTATGGGAACTTCAAACCACCGTCGAACCCTATGAGCTTTGGCCTCTCGACAATGAGATCGTTCCATGATAGAAAGAATTCAGGGACCTCTAGATCGACAAAATCAAGGTGACAGAAGATAATCTGTCCTTTGAAAGTTTTCGCAGCTTCGTAGTATATCACACGGATCTTTGCATACTCCTCAGTGCTTGCAAATAGGAGGAACTGCTTGCTAATGTCGGATGCGAAGATCGACGCTGCTGTCTCAGGGCTATATGTGATGACTAGAGGAAGCCTGTTCTTCGCAATGAAGCTAGTCAAGGCCATTTCCTCAAAGTCATCCTTAAAAAGGGCAACCTTCTCAGCCTGCTTCTTCAACAACTCAAGCGAGGGTGTCTTCCCAAGGCTGAACTTCGCGGCCACTTCCTTGTCTTCGGTGATGTAAAATGTGACTCCTGTATCCATGTTGGCTGCTGCAGCGAATGCTTTGGCATTCTTATCCTCGAGGCTCTTTACATAAGCAACGGCAATTGGGGTCTCAACCTCCAACGCCTTCTCGGCATCAGCAGTAGACTTGAGAGTTTGTAGAGGAGATCCACATTTCTTCACCCAGGCCATGATGTCGTGAACATTGCGGCCGCCAGTGTAGGGCTCATGTACTCCATTAACGAAGAACAACATAGTAGGGAAGCCCCGGACTTGAAACTGCTGGCTCAGATCTGAATTCTCGATAGCGTCAACTTTTGCGAGAACCACATTTAGGCGAGTCATATTGAGATAAGAGGCTGCCTGAGCGTATTCAAAAGCCAATGTCTGGCAGTAGCCACACCAGAGAGCATAAAATTCAACCAAAACAAACTCATGACTGTTCACTACCTCCGTGAAGTTGCTTGCACCGAGGACAACCACATCCATCTCATAGAACTCAAGAAGCTGAGATGGCAACAAAAGTTTATCAATGCTTTCTAAATAAAAAAATCTTACATTTTTCTCTTTGCTTGAGGCCAGGATTACAAACTGTCACGTGATTCGCATGGATTTGACGCTACACAAGAATGGAACATGAAAATCTCAGTCTAAGGGCGCTTATTAGATCGCTAAAAGATTGTCTTTAGTTACCTCCATGTCAAAATGTTCCTCGAATTCCTTCGGAGCTGGAGCTTCAGCCTCGCCTTTATTCTCCAACTCAAAGTAATCCAGAAAATCAGGCATGCCTTCATTCTTCAGCTCAACGTACTCCAGAATATCAGACTATCCTTCATTCTTCGACTCATCGTACTCCGGAAGATCAGCCTCGAAGGGGATTGCGGCATTCTCTTTCAGGAACTTGCCCAATCCAGCTGCCGTCCTGTGTGCTCCTGCCCATATTGGTTCCTCTGTCTTCTTTCCCGCGGGGAAGAAAACAACAGTTGGGAAGCCCATCTTGCAGACCCGACCATGCTCATTCTTAATGCCGTCCATCTTGGCGATCACGATCGACTTCACGTCCTTCAACAGCTCTGCTAATTTCTTGTATTCAGGTTCCAAATTCTTGCTCCGAAGGAATTCTTGTGGCTTCTCCACTTCCATAGCCATACCACGGATAATAGAAGTGGAGAAGAACATCCTTGGACTCGTCCAGAACAATGTTGTCGAACGATTTGCCGACAACCACCTTCACAGGTTCGTCGTTCTTCTCAGGAATGTCCTCAGACTTGAAGTATGGGTTAAGTTTGTTCTCCAAAAGCTTTCCTGAGAACTCCTTGACCGACTCAAGACTGAAATCTCCTTCGTATCCGAACTTCGAACCGCACGCCCCTTCTACATACCCCACGAGCTTTGTCTTCTCGCCACTGAGAGAGAAGTAATCGAGATAAAAAGAAGCGTACATATGATTTGCAAGATCAACGAAAACGAAGGTGATCTGTCCTTTGGAAAACTTCGCAGCTTCTTCGTACATAAAACGGATCTCAGCGTACTCCTCAGTGCCTGCAAATAGGAAGAATTGCCTGCTGATGCCGCGCATGGAGATCAGCTCTTCTTTCCCACGGCCATATGTGATGACTAGAGGAAGCCTGTTCTTCCTAACGAAGCTAGTCAAGGTCATTTCCTCAAAGTCACCCTCAAAAAGGACAACCTTCTCAGCCTGCTTCTTCAACAACACAAGCGAGGGTGTCTTCTCAAGGCTGAACTTCGCTGCCACTTCCTTGTCTTCGGTCATGTAGAATGGGACTCTTCTCTCCATGTCGGCTGCTGCAGCGAATGCTTTGGCATTCGTATCCTTGAGGCTATTCACATAAGCAACGGTAATTGGGGTTTCAACCTCGAATGTCTTCTCGGCATCAGCAGTAGACTTGAGAGTTTGTACAGGAGATCCACATTTCTTCTTCACCCAGGCCACGATGTCGTGAACCTTGCGGCCGCCAGTGTAGGGCTCATGCACTCCGTGAACGAAGAACAACATAGTAGGGTAGTCCTGGATTTGAAACCGCAGGCTTAGATGAGATTTCTTTGTGGCGTCCAGCTTTGCAAGAACCGCACCATCATCTTTCAGTATAGTGGCGGCCTTGGCATACTCAAGCGCCAATGTATGGCAGTAGCCACAGCAGGGAGCATCAAACTCAACCAAGACAATCTTATGACTATTCACCACCTCCGTGAAGTTGCTTGCACCGAGGACAACTACATCCTTCTCTTCGAAGTCCTCTGAATAAGCGGACACACTCAACGCGATACACAGCAATGCTAGAAACCCCACCGCTGCAAGTCGCACCATTGCGAATCTTATCCTTGCGGATATACCAGCACCTTCAAGTCGGTTGTGAGCAACGCCAATGCGAAATCTGCATTTGGGGTCATCAACAACCACATATTACTACTCTGTATTATGAGCCAAAAACTTATTGCAGCGACAAAGAAAGCCGCAGTTATTGTTTGCATTGACCAGTTTTTTACTTGATATCGAAATGAGCGAGAAAACAGGCACAAAGCTTCATAGCAAGTCAATGTTCGAACATGCAAATCAAGTGCGAAGAGCCAAAACTATAGCAACATCAGGAATTCAAAATCTTCAACAGAATTGCTGAATGCTAATAATACATACACGACCTCTTACATGTCCTCTGTCCGGACCCGTCAACTTGCTTCAAACTATGAAAGCCATGACCTTCATGCTCTGACAGGGCATTACAGCTCACTACCGACAGTCCAAAACTGTGGACTGATAACTTTCGAAAGGTCCGATTCTGGCCATCAAACCTCTCGCTTATCAAGAAACGCATGTATTGACTCAAAGCCTCACACAACGCTGAAACATGCATCACGTACTCGACCTACGTTGATGCTACCCCCATCAAAATACACCCAAAATATTTGTTCACATTTTTTCACTACTTTCAGACTTTCTGATTCTTAGTCGAGGTTTGCTTCACAGACCGAAACGAGTACTGAAATCCCTACTGCATGACGACGCCTAACATTCACACAGACCACGAATAAAGCTTAGCGAGAGGACACACGATCCAACCAACTGTGGTCATTCCGCCACGAAGTCCTCAACAATACTGCTCTGGACTGCGGCACATTTAGTGACACAAGGATATCATTTGTAAAAGATAATGGCAGCGTGAACATAATTATCCTACTTAGCTCTCAAACGACAAGGTGAAAAAGAACAACATCATGCTCAAATATAAGCCAGCTGAGAGGTGAATGCGTTCGTCAGAAAGTGACAGTTACCGACAGTAATCATATCTCTCAACAAAAGCGGAGCAAAGAGCGCAATGGTGCACATCTAAAGCCAGCTGAAGCTACCGACAGCGAAGATCAAAACCAAACACGCAATACCTCGGAGCTAGAATGCGAGGCATAACACAAAACCAGATATAGAGATGCCGCATCCACAATTCGATCCAAAAATGAAGAGAAGCGAAGGTGATGATCAGTCACCGACAACAGATTAGTATTTGTTGCAAATAGAAGTCTGGCTTTTAATTAAATCAAAATTATATATGTTGGAAGGAAAAAAAATATTTTGTATTGTCTTATAGAAATAGGCTTATTTTAGTTGTTCAATTTATTAGTATTGTAATAATCAAATAAAATCTTCATAATATTGTAGACCCTTTAATTTTAATTTTATCTTCAATAATATAATTTCTTATGTTTATTATACTAATATATATTTTTGGATATATATATATATATATATATATATATATGAAGTTTATAGTATGATTTTGATAACATTGAAACAAAAATATTTTAAAAAATTAATTTTTTAAAAAATATTATTATTTGATAAGGAATCAAGATATATATCTAGAGGAAGTTCTAAAATATTGATGTACTTGTCTATTAATAAAAAGGGATAAAAAAAAATGAAAAATAAAAGTTTGAATTTAAAATAGAAAAATTTAAAATAGCTATTATCAATTACAATGAAATTAATAAGTTTTGAATTAAGTTTAGAATACTAAAAATATTAATAATTAATTAAATATTATTTAATACAAACATCATTTAATTGATCTTATATGTGCTTTTATATACTTTTATTTACTTAATATTCTCTTTTAGATATGATTTTTATTATAAGAAGTAAAATATCTTTATAAGTTATTAAAGTCTAAGATTAATTAAATATTGTTTGTTTAAAATTTTAACGTTTAATTTATTTAAAAGTAGTTGATGATTTATTGAATCATTGATAATGTATCATATTTAGATAAGAAAATTATAATATTATTTAATAATTTTTAAAGCTTTTATTACCATCTTTAAATGATATGTTCTAAATATTATTAATTATAATATTTATTTTTAATAGTATTACTAATAGATTCAAGATAGTACCACAATAGGTTAAAATAGCTTATATATTGGTATAGTTATAATATTAGTAAATGCACATGGGAGCTATCTAAAAATCTTACAAATGTGGTAAAAGAAATAGATATATTTCATTGATAACATCCATCAAAATCAAGATGAAGAATCAATAAATCTTTGCTATAAAACAAAGCAAGTTCAATAAAGAATGTATTTTATCTTCTATTCTTGTTTGTAGTTCCTTTGTAATCATAATGTTAAAAAGATGGAGAATCAACAATCAACACATTTAACTCAAGAGCTAATGTTGGTTAGAATATTAGATAAACATTAAAATTATCATATCCATTAAGATAATATAATAGAGATGAAGACCCTATTGGAGATGTTCTTCTTCAAATAGATGATAAAATATAATATGTTTGATAATATGACTTTAAAAAGAGATTTTTGATGTTGGATGATATTATTAGAGGTAGAAATAATTCTTGATGGTATTTCAAATGTTTTATTTCAAAGAAGTTATATAAGCCACAACAATAATTAAATAATATGATGATCTTTTACGTCAATAGAGGAATTATTGATGATTGAAAGAACCTATCAACTACCTTAAAGAGAACAAAGATTAAAATATGTGGCTAATATAATCTATTTCATTTTGGACTTTTTCAACTTGTGATTATAATTCTTTGTAGAATTTTTTTTTTTAAAAGGATGATAATGTCAATACTTATATATTGATATTAATAATTTCTAAGATAAGATAAATTAGATAGAAATAAAATTAAATAAATTTAATAATAACTCATTGAAAAGCTTCTTAAATTTTTTATAAATAAAAATTTGACTTTACAAGTATTTGTAGATGGTTAGTAAATTCAAAACTTAGCTAACTTGTGGAACACATGTTTGATGATTTATAGAATGTCACTATATAGATCTTTAGTTAAATAAGATATATAGAGAAAAGAATGAGTCCTCTCTTAGTCTTGTCAATCGCTTTATTGCATTCTTTTCTTAATTTAAGAATCTCTAGTCTATATATATATATATATATATATATATATATATATAGCTATTTTAATTTCTATCTTATATTCAACTTTAATTCATTTATTTTTTTTCTTTAAATATTATAAGAGTATATTATTTTTTAAGAATTTTTCTTTGATTCATATCCTTA